CCTCAGTTGCGGTCAGATTTCCACACCTGAAAGCCTTATAAATATTGCAAATTTAAACGGGTGTGGAAATCTGACCGTGCTGTACCTGCCACGCAAAATGGACGTGTTAATCCGATCCGCTGTAGACCGCAAGTGTCATGTTGGAACAGAGTAAGAAGCGTAAACTTTAGGGTTCTTGAAGTATTTCGCAAACACGCACTTTCAACAAACGTTTCATGAACCCTTTGAGGCCTCGATCTGCTGGTCATACCACTTACCAAAGGCGACAATCCTCAAGCTGCAGGCAAGATCTAAATTGCCCAAAAATCTCAAAGATTCTTTCTGAGCCCTCTGCTCTTTCCTCATGGCAATGAACCAAAAATGCTTCAGGCACAACTGAGAAGCATGATGCCGATATCCTGCTAGTTTACATGCAGCACCATGCATCAAAAATGTGACCGAACCCCTCTTGGCCAATCCCCTGTTGAATTGACTTGTTGCTAGCCTTCTATAATAACAGCGCCAGGCTTCTCATAATCCCAAAGGACCAGAAACTACAGAGTTCTCAAACAAAACGATACCAAACTCCACCTCATGGAGGAAGTTATATATGCACATATTACATGAGGCGATTGACAGAATAAAATCTGATTGGCGCAGCTCGTGTGAAAAGTAGGAGAGCCCTGCTCCGAATGTCTGACAAGTACGTCACCTCCAACCCCAACATGAAGCTGCCAAAGTACACTGACTCTCTGGAGCCTGGCACCCTTGCAACACAGACTCTGCGGAACCAAAGGAAAAGCATAACAGGCAGTTATTTTCTCGCGAAGGTGTAAGCGCAGAAGCACTGAGCTACAGCTGTGTATCCAGCCATAGAGTCATTTTTGTACAAAGGTCATTGCAAAATATTTAACGGCCCTTCAATGATTTCTGAAACTTTTTGGCTTGTTCTTCAGTCATAACGTTGCCAGCTTGAGAGGGTGGTTCAACGATGCGTGCACGCTTCTGCTGCAGAGCAGTCGCTTGTCTTTCAGCCTCCTCCCTCTTTTTTGAGAGGAACTTCCCTTCCTCTTGCTTTTTGACTACCGACCGTGCTTGCGGTTCTTTCCGTGAGTTCAATACAATTGTGAAGCTGACTTCATCACCAACTTCACACCTATGAGCCTGTCTGGCATGCAAATAGACATCCTGTCCTGTTCTATTGTAGATTTCCGGACAAAAAATAAAACCGTGACCGGTGTGCTTCTCTCCGTAGAAACATTTCACTGTGCCGCTGTACCTGCGCTCCTCATCAGGCTCAGCAGGGTCGGCAAACTGCTTCTGACCATACTGCATGTTCAGCATCATATTGGAAACCATCGATGGAGAAGACAATGCATTTGAGAAAAATGATGAAGACCACCCGTCATTTCCATCTGCCAAAGATGGACTGAAGGTATGTGGTATCGATGACCCTGAAGATGCACCGCAAGCGCCACATGGACCATAGACGCCGTATGGACCGCACCTTGACCCACGTTGATCCATGCTTTCCCACTGCGAATCCACCTCCCAAGGTACCATTGGCACCATGCCTTGTGGCGCTCCAAATTGACCTCCACTCGGAGGCCACATCGCCACATGCATCAAGCAAGCCGAGACAAAAAAGTATACGGAAGCTGAGCAAGCTGAGCAAATGCATATGAGACGTGTCCCGTATGGCTTGTCCTTTTTCAACTTGTGACTCGAGGTTTTACCTCCAATAGCTTGAGCCCGAACAAGTCGCAGGGAGTTCAACGGGCAACTGTAGCTCTGCACCCAATTCTGTCTATGCTTATGCAGCCTATGCAAGAATGACACCAACCAGTGCTCATGAGACATGACATATATATAATATACTGTTTTGAACCCAGCAAACATTGATCAAAGAAAACCTGGCCTTACCCCCAACATCGAACTCAGGGTCCACATTGTTCTGCCATGCGTCAGGACACACTAGACTAGTATACAGTCAAGCGAGCATCCATATTATGTATGTGTCTCGCATGTTTCGATGACGATACGCTCCTATTTCATCCGCCAAACGAGACTCATCCGCCATTTCACTATGCAAAGGCAACACAGCAGGCTTCCTGCCAGCTTACTTCGCCATTCGTCTCTATCAATTGCTCTGCGACAGCCACCAAAAGTCTGAAAATAGAATTCTTGATCCCATCATGAGTGTGGTCTTGGTGTGCGATGCCTGTGTGATTTACTTCCACGTGAATGCAAGACAGTCCTGAATTGTGATTTCAAAGGCCGGGGCACCAAGCCAATCAATCCTAGTTCTTCGCAAGCTTTGATAGATCGCTCTTCTTTTTGCAGCCTAGGCCGAGATCCAAGTCCAGGTGTCGCGGCTTTACAATTCACAATCCTTTCCAAACGCTTACAAGGCTTCACACCACGACTTTATATTTTGGAGGCCTTGTGCCCCCCCCGGAGCATACTACGCTAGCAGACATCTGCAAAGTACGACCCTGCAACGTCGGTATGTCCAGACACAGCCATTCAAACTGATCCTGCCACACCCCATGCAGCAGTTATGTCACGTGTGCTTAGGCTAACTCTGTCTATCCCGAATTTCCCAAGTCTCAAGTCTTCAGATTCCAATGGCCAAATAGTTCTGCCAAATAGTTCTAGTCAGAAGCAGGATCATGATTACCCAAAAGCCATTGAGAGGTGAACAAGGGCAGGAGGCACCTGTTTGGCGACAACAATAGCACGGCCAGGTCCGGGCAACTCAGATCCCAGGGTAGCCTGCGTGGAGGCCAGGAGGGCCGCACCCAGGGGCGAGCGGATGGATTTGTTTTTCAAGCACGCGGCGCCAGGCGCAACCAGTTGAGCTATATCATGGTGCGGCCTGACCCATTCCTGAACAACCAAATCACCTGAGCAAAGGAAAAACTGTGTTTTAGGTTAACCTGATCATGCTGTGCAGCGACGTTGCGAAGTAACCGACCAAGGGCTTGACTCCTTGACATCCCCCAGCTGTCACTCACAGACCCAGGAGCGATCAACGCAGGTACGTTTCCACGACGACATATAGATGGGTCTTCATTGGCCTCTGCCACCTATGCGTCCACGAGCCCCTGCTGTTAATAAAACAACAATACAAGTGGCAAAGTCCGCAGACAACCTACCATTCTGAAGTGCACACACGCACAAAATGGCGTGGCTTGAACCCACCCATCCTCTGGTGAGGTTTGGCCCTGGTTGTTAGGGGTCGTAATATACAAAACATGGTGAATAGGAAAAATGCGTCTTTGTGGGGTGACCGCTTCACGAAGAAAAATGTGTCGCACATTGCAGAAAAAGGCCTCAAGCCTGGGCATCTGGTTCACTAGTTCAAAACAGCTGCATGGGAGCGCTATACCATTCACGTCTTCCTAGGCGTGGATTGAACATGGTTGTATGATCCAATTAATGTTCGATATTCCAAACATTTTTGCAGTATTCTATACAAACTCACCTCTCTGTGAACAAAGCTTTTGCAAAATACATAACACAGCTGAAACCTCAGTCTTGACGGCCGGGCTATGAAAAGAATCATATAAATATATAGGTTGGATATCAAGCAAATATAGATTTATTATCAAAAAGAAAACTAATTTGTATCAAACAGGCTGCGCGATGTGAATTTTGATGTCCAGTTTTCGTGGCAGGCGCAGCACTATGAGCACCTCCAGTAGCAGATTTCGTGGCAGGAGCTGTAGTTTGCGCACTGGAAGTGCAGATTTCGTGGCAGGCGTTGCACTTTGAGCACCTTCAGTTTCAGGTTTCGTGGCAGGCGCAGCACTTCATGAACCTCAAAGTGCAGATTTCGTGGCAGGCACTGCGCTGGGTGAACCTCTATAATTATGAACCTCGAAGTGCAGATTGCGTGGCAGGCGCAACATTTCTGTGGATCTCAAGATCTCTGAAAAGAGCTCTTGATATCTCTGGATTTCAAGACCTCTCTCTGCATCTCAAAACCTTGCTGGATCTTTCTGGATCTCGGCCTTTACATCTTTCTACACCCTCTACAAGTCTAGACCCCTAGAAAGATTTCAACACCTGTCTGGATCTTGAGACAAGACCTCTCAACCTCCATCTTTAGATCTGTGGATTTCTAGACCTCTACACCTCTAGATCCGTCTGGCTCTCCAGGCCTTTGGACCTTTGTACATGTAGACCTCTCTGCATCTCAACCGTGGTCTCTCTCTCAATTTCAGAGCTCTAGATCTCTGTAGATGGGTCTCAAGACCTCTCTGAATCTCAAGACCTCTTGACCTGCGGATGGCTCACAAAAGGTGCTACGTTGGAATGGCACCTTCCTCCTCTAAAGTTTGTGCTGGCAAAAGGTCTGCTCCTCTAAATTTTGCCCTCGCATGGCTCACAAAAGGTCTACTGCTCCTCTAAATGTTGCTCAAAAAAGGTCTGCTCCCTTGGCGTTGCAGCTAAATGTTTATGCTCGGGTGGCTCACAAAAGGCCTGCTACGTTGGAATAGCAATTCTACCCTCGGGTTGGTCACAAAACAAAGGCCTGCTACGTTGGAATGGCAAATTCTTCCTCTAAATTTTAACCTTGCAAGGCTAACAGACGGTCTGCAACATTGGAATGATTTTATCCTCAGGTGGCTCACAAAAAAGGTCTGCTACATCTGGTGATAAAAGGTCTGCCACTGTGCTTCACAGGATGTATGACAAGATTGACAAGGAGATTTCCAAATCACCTTAATAACGCGTCGACAAGACCAGGACCAAGGACCAAAGGACCAAGAGACCAGAGGACCAAGGGACCAGAGGGCCAAGGGACCAGGACCAAGGGACCACAGGACCAAGGGACCAAGGGACCAGGGAACCAGGACCAAAGGAGTAAGGGGAATTTTATTTGTGATACGAATTAATGGTTTTTTCTGATAGCGATCAGTTTGTTCATTGATAGGAATCAATTATCTTTTTGATAGGTATCCCATTCTTGACTGCAGCATGGCAGCACGGTAGTCCCATGCCACAAAATGACAAGAACACTGATGCGACTAACAGGAAAGTGGCTGTGACACCATCAAAGCATCAGATGCACTCACGAACAAACGACATCAACGATTCTTAAATGCATCTGAGGCTGAAGCACATGTAGAAGAGCTACTTTGGCTCTTGGATTTCGGGCCACCTCTTGCGCTGATGCTCGGATGGGTTCGCCTCGTCTTTCAAACTCAGAGATTGTTTAGCAGGCAAACCTAAAATCCAGCCTACCCGTTCTACAAGCTCAACTGCAATCAAGCCACACAATTGGCGGCAAGAATAGGGCAAATCAGTGGCAGCCAAGGGGAATAGTTCACAGAACCGCTGCGGAGTGACAAATTCTGCAAACCGAAAATCAGGGGCTTCATGCTCACGAATAAAACGCTTCACCTTCAGAGCAGCTTTGAGTTTCTGAAACATATCGGAATCCCACAAATAGTTGTGTACACCCAGGGCTATCATGGATCCTTACAATTCACACATTTGTCGCGGCCTATTCATGCACATGCAATGTTTCACATCTCGTTTCATGAACATCCTGCTCATTTCAGTACCTCCACTTTGGCATAACATTGCACCAAACATTACTGAAACTATTCTGGCATGAACACGGTCTTCACCTCTCTTTTGAAGCCCTTAAAACCGGAATCCATCCATCGTTTGCATTTGACATTTTCAGGCAGGCTTGGCCTCTGAAGCCTCTTTGCGTCGAGTGGTGATGATTATCAGCCTTCCACCAATATTCAAAGAAGATAAAGCACTTTCCATCGCAGCTCGAAGTTCTGCTATCTCTTTGTTGAGAAAGGTGCGGATAGCCTGAAAAGGGGATTTTGCAGGATGTAGCCCTCGATCATCACTGCCTTTGACAGCGCAGCACACCTCTGCAAGCTCCAAGGTTGAGCGATATGGCCCAACTTGGACCTGCCTGTGCAGAATTGCTTCCGCTAATCTGTATGCAAGAATTGGCGAAACCCAATCTTCACCATACCTGCATCAAAGAATCACTTGAATAAACCAAAACAACTATATACTATTTTGTTGCACGCATGATTGCAGAAGTGCCTCTAATCTGCATGAAACGTTATATTATATATATATATAGTATAATGGCTCTGAAGGGCCATTTAAAACAAGGAAATGAGACAACGAAAAAAACCAGCACAACTGCAACAACATATCTCAAAGCCACATCCTGCCCAATCGCACCCTACGTGCATCTTGAAAAGCATCAAAGCATAACGAAATCCCAGGAACCTGTGACTGGTTGTTTTCCGCGAAACTAAAACACACCACAGCACGCATGTCAAGAAGCGTGACTATGACCTGGATTGAGTATGAATGACTCAACTCAGGTCAATAGATTATTAGGTGCCTTTGTGTGCATTCGATCTTGTTGTGGCTTGCTGGAAGGATCTCTTCCAAGGTTCTGTGATGATGCCTTATTTGCCCTTGCGTTCCGAACTCCGGTTATTGTGTGTTCATTTCGTGAAGCTGCTGCTGTTTGATGCAGACTTCGCTGCATGATGGTTGCTGTCTTCTTGATGATCGGTGCAGTGATGCATTTGAGAACAATGATCTTCCTTGATTATATAGCTACTTTGTGGCATTGTCACTTCAATGACTACAGAGGTGCAAAATCACTCCTGGTCCTGGCAATCATAGTTTGCCTGATATCTGCAAGTACCAACTGCAACGCCAAAAGCAATGTCTAGGCAAATGGTTGCATGATGGAGGTTTATCTCTGAAGATGGGAAACCTACCGGGGCAAGTATGTCTTCTATACAAGAAGGAACTGTTTTGCTGTTTCTGTGCACCCTCTCCCATGAATGATGCCTGCGCATGGAAAACTACATTAAGAATCGAATATTGACATGTAAACTGACACATAATGTCAACATTCAAAAGGTACACCTAGTGGCATGATCTCCAATAAACATCACTAACATAAACTCAACATATGTAAATGGCATATACTGATATACTCAGGAATGGTACATTCAGAAACACGCACACAAAGAAAAAAACATCCTGCCGGGTATCCCTTTCTGCTTTGAAGGACAATATTTGTAGCATCAGCCAAGTAGCTCCTGTAAGACGCTGCCTAGCTCCGCTGCAGACACTTGTTGAAGCCAAACACAAGCCGGTACACCCACCCAAGGATTCAAGCGCCCATCCAAAGGGACAGCTTCGTAGTAGGACAAACCCCTGTCGCGCTCTTCTGCAGCTGTCATCTGTGCTCCAAGATCCAACAATATTCCTGCCAGCGGCTTGTGCATATTGCAAAGCACCTGGTTTAAACCATGGCACGGACTCTGATGAAAACAGAGCCGCTCATCTGCAATTGACAAGTGCGTCGCCACCTGCAAACATTCAATTCCCAACTTCTCACCACAAATGAAGGAATCGTTTGATTGTTCCTATAATTTTATCTTCCGAGAAAGCTGCATTCATACTATGTTTCAATCTTTGTAGCAAATCAATACTGGTGGTCCTATTACTGTGTGCTGAACACAGCACTCAATGCTGTTCAATCATGGGGGATGGTTGACCCGAAAAAGCCGGCTTCTTGGGTGACTAGGCAGACATGCCATACCGCCACGCGGTTTAAGTTCTAATTTTAAGTCCGACTGCATGCTACATTGCCAGGTCATTGCAAAGAATGTGCTTCAAACCACATCCCTTCCGCCTCAGCTGCTTTGGGATCAATATCGAAAGCCAGGAGACGACCGTCACACGACAGACATCTCAATATTTCAGAGGCATGTCCTGCTACAAATGCAACAACCTACCCAATACAAAAACTTGTGCACAGATTGGCCAAACGTCCAAAATTTAGAAACAAAACCTTTTCGGATGAACTCAAAGCCTCCTCGACCAAAGGAACCATCTACATAGAGAGCGTCTGGTCCTGCACAATTGGCAAGATCAAAACTGTCGTCCATTTAGGTTACATCAAAAGCAGTGTTGCTGCTGCCGTACTGCTGGGAAACTGAGGCCTCCATTTTGCATCAAAACTTCGACGGCTTCATGCAGAAGCAATGGTTTTGCTGATTCAGAGGCTTTGCCATGAGCAGGAGAACCTAAAGGTTCGTACCTGCTTTGCATGGATTGCAATAAGTTCCCAATCCAGGCCTCCAAAAACACGGTTGTACAAGTTGTACTTCATGTCTTTTCAACGCAGCTTTATCGCTGGTGCCAAACATGTATGCACAACGCGACCAATCTAAACCAGATTGAACCAGTATTGTTGCCTGGATGCCTTTCTTGCAACTGTCCTGTCAGTTTGTATCTTGCCGCTTTGCCATGTATCTGAAAAACGTCTGCGACAATCTGCATTGTTCCAGTCCACTTCGTGTGCTTTCAGAAATGAATGCTGGTGGGAACAAAAATGCATGACAATGGTGACTGACCTGGTGTAAAACATGAAATGTCAAAAATAAATGAACCAAACCAACCCTCACTTTAACTTTAAAGCTGGAAACGACTCCGGATTGTTTTGCGCGCTCAAAAGGTTGAGCGGGTTTTGACCTGTCTGTCTTCTTCAAAAACTCGCCTGGTGACCATGCCAAACTGAGTTTTGTGTGCAATGAGCTCACAACAAGGACGCAATGATAAAGTATATAAAGCGTGGCTTGCTGAAAGATTTTACAAGCAAGAATGCACGACCTTTTGCGGAAAAAAACCTGGTTACTCTGCTTTCCAAAGTTCATCTTTCCAAAATGTGTCTTTCCTTATGCACTGTGAAAAGCACGCACGTACCAACCATGTGAATAAGGCAAGAGGTCTACTGATTGTCTTGTGCGGAAAAACTGACATGTGCCCAGGTCAACACCAGTATGAACACATGTTGTCACTTTGGTGTTTTGTGTCTTGTCATTTCAGGGTTTGGCCTTCATAGTCAACGTTCTCGTTGAGGTGTGGGGGGGGTAGGCATTTGAAAGGAGGTGTGACCAAGTTGGTCAATTCAAGCCCACCTCGCCCTGCAAGGCTCATTAAATTTGCAAGACACCCAAAACAGAAAACTAAGGTTTCCTTGAAACACCTTAGTGACAACATCATCACTTTGGTGATTTGACATCATGTGAACAAAAAGCGGCTTTCCTTTTCAACGGGGGGTTGGCCGAGTTCTTCTCCCTTTTTGTTTTTCGGATAAGCCCACATGTTGGTATTACTTCCCAAACCGAAAAAAAAATACAGCATCCAGGAACCTTGAGACCGATATGCAAAGCCCCATGTCAAAGGTGGTGACTGTTCGTGAACCATGCCACACAACTATGCCTTAGCAGGCTGTTTTTTTCCTCAATTGGCACACCTACTGCAACGTGGTACATGGGAGGCATTCACCAGAGTTGCACATCAAACAACTTCAATGCATGCAGGAATGGCGCTACGATGCCTCCAGAGTCAGAGACTCCTCCTCCTACCCGGAGCTAGTTGGAGGATGCCAACTTGACATGACTGGGGCATTTGATGCCATATCTAGAGATTCGTTGTGGCAAGCAATTAATACGTTGGAACTACCAGAAACTTTGATACACGTCCTTATGTCCTAGCATGTCAACACTGCCTGTATCATGCAGTGGAAAGGGAACTCGCAATCCCTGCCTACATATAAAGGAATTCGACAAGGTTGCAGACGTGCCCCTTTTTTTTTGAGTTGCTTTACTGTTTTGATCCTGCAGAGCATTGCACACACAACAAATACAGAGTGGATGCGCTCCCACTGCACCTTTTACGCTGATGATGGTCATGCCTGTGTGCTCTTTTTTGACAAACAATCAATGCTCACTGGCCTACGCTACCCGGGAACAGTGATTGAAGCACTTAAAACATGGCATGACCATAAACATGACCAAATCGACGGTGCTCCTCACCATGAAGGGCAAAGCAACTGCTTGGCCCGAAAAAACCTGCATCAGACAGAGTAAACAACAAGAGTTCATCAGACTACCAAGAGCAGCAAATGAAGTTTTTGAGATTGTCAAACACAGAGGCGATCCTTTTCTCACCTCTTGGCTCACAAAAGCCGCTGCGGTATTGGGCTCGTTCATGTGCTATACATGTAGTGCAAACAGGTCATGAGTGTCTGCATGTAAGTCTGACACCCTGCC